AATAATAATAATACATAATAATAACCATCGCATTATTCCTACACAATGGAGGTCTGTCGCTCAGAGAGTTGCCGTACGTTGAAGTCTCCTTGATGGCAACAAAGAACTACAGATTGGGGGAAAGGCGAGAGAGAAATCAAATCAAATGAATTAATTCATAATTGGGGAAGGGGCTCAGACAGTCCCAGGCCTGGGCTGGGTTTGGAGAATGGGAATAGCACCGTCAACTTACTACATATGTGCTAGACGTCAATGTGCTATATACAGTGTTTTACAAGAATATCAATATCAATGCAATAATAATAATAATAATAATAATAATACCCTTAAGGCACCAGGTCCCATCTGAACTTGGTAGCTAAGCAGGGTCAGCCCTGGTCAGTACTTGAATGGGAGACCACCAAGGAATCCCAGGGGCTCTTGGAGGTTCTAGTTCAAAGCAAGAAACTGCTGAAATCGCCTCTAGGGACTCCTTGCCAAGAAAACCCTAAGAAATTCATGGGGTTGCCCTAAGTGGACAGGCGATTCGAAGGGACAAAGACATACACATACAAGGAACTAGATCCCCTATGATCTTGGAAGCTAAGCAGGGGCAGCCTTGGATACTCCTTGGAAGGGAGACCGTCAACAACCCCCAGGTGCCATAGGCTGTATTTCAGAGGAAGGAACTGGCAAAACCACCTCTGGGTATTCCTCCTCTAAGAAACCCCACAAGATTCATGGGGAAATCATAGGTCAAGACACAATGGCTGGAAGAGGCCCAAACACCCTGAAGGCACTGTCCAATCTTGGAAGCTAAGCAGGATCAGCAATGGTCAGTCCTTGGATGGGAGACCGCCAAGGAATCCCAGGTGCTAGAGGCTCTGTTTCAGAGGAAGGAGCTGGCAAAACCACCTCTGAGGACTCCTGTGGCCTAAGAAAACCCGCTGAGATTCATGGGGTCCCCATAGGTCACCAGGCAACTGGAAGGCACAGACACATAGAATATAGCACAGGGTCTAAATGTCCAAAAGGCACCATCATCTCCTCTCTGATCTTGGAAGCTAAGCAGGCTCAGTCCTGGTGACTTCCCTGATGGGAGACCGCCAATGCATCCCAGCTACGGTTAGGTTCTATTTCAGAGGGAGGAGCCGGCAAAACCACCTCTGGGGATCTCTTCCTTCAGAAAATCCTGTAAGATTTTTGGGGTCACCAAAGTCAACAGGGTGACATGAAGGTACAAAGACATACACTTCTTCTTCGTGGTCTCTGCGAATCACACAAATGGGCTTTGTCTGCGCATGCGCAGCTAGTTCGGAACCTTCTGGAATTCGCAGATGTCCACTCGAGGAAATACTGTTACAGGTAAGCAACCTGTCCATCCGAGGAACTCGGTCCCGTTCTGCAGAAATGCACTTACTTGGTTAGTTAATACAGAAAAGTCTGTCATGTTCAGCACTGCCAGATTCGCTTAGGACTAAACTTAGGACGTTATCAC